TTTTTTTTTTATTACTTTTAATGTGCTGAATGTTTGACAATTTTTACTGGTTTAATATCTTCATTGTTTAGTATTTCATTAGTAATTAATGATTTTTTATTAGTTTTAATTACATACGCCCTAGTTTTTTAATACCAGCCACAGTAGCACTAACCTTATCAGTTTTATTGAATGTAAAGGAAAAATCATTTGGTCGAGTTTGAACCTTCCTTTTATTATTAATAGAGACTTTTCTGCTGAAAAAATAATTAATAATACTAAATAACTAATTGAATATATGGTGTTTTTAAGAAATATATTGTACCTTTTTATTGAACTTTTTATGTGTGTTAGTAGGAATAGCTACAATATTTAATTCCATTGCAGAAAATGTTTAGTTTAGTCAAATACTATTGCGAATTATTAAAATCCTGCATATTTGTGAATAAATAAAATGTTGTTTCAAAGCAAAATTTCACTAAACACCATGCACGTTTTTAGGCTATTGTCAGATATGAGGTTATGAATTAAAAGACAAAGACGTTTCTCGGTTTCTTTCTCCCGATTTTTACGTTTAGAAGGGATACTTAAAGGTTCCTCCGCTCAGAGGCGAGAGCGCTGCTTTTGGCATTCAAATTAATGGCGCAGAATTTGAAATGAAAATTAATGAATTTTAGTAATTGGGTATTTGAAACTAAATTTGGTATTACGATCGTATTGAATCGTATTTATAATAATACAATAATAACAAAAATATACTAGATAATCTTATATTATATTGATAAGTAGTGTTTAATGATTTAAAAAGGATGGAAATGCATGAAATTAATAGTCTAAAACTCGAGTTGAAAAGTTAATAGTATTATTGAATAAAACCATAATAGTTAATGATTTATGAATTCAAGCTTACAAGTTTCGTTGCCGATATTTTTATTAATTTTTCATAACATAATATTCTATCGAAAGAACTTTTTTAAACTTCGGTTAAAAATAATTGTTTCGGTTGGTACCTTTGTACGAATTTTGAATGAACGAAACATGAATGCTAAAATTTGGCGAAGTTTAGGCGTATGTATGTCAAAAACATGAAAAGAAAACAAAGTCAGATTTAAATGTCGTATTTTAACAATTAAGCTTATGTTTCTAATTATATGGATGCAGATAAATCTTGGTTATGCTAAAAAATTTAAAACGCTTAAAATTAATTAATTCATATACCTAAAGAATATGGATCAAATAAGTTTGTTGCAGAGGTTTCCATATTTATTACCGAAAAACAAAAGTTGTACTAAATATGGTGGATTTATTATCACTAATGTAAAAGTTTACATAAAACCATAAATATAATTATTGATCTTATATTCATGCTTGTTATTTTAGGATGAAGAATTTTTTGTTGATTTAAACGTACCTAATTATCCAAATTTGGATAATATCTCATTAGAAGTATATAATCAAAATGTTTTGCAAAATATAGAAAGTTATAAGTTCAATAATTCTAAAAGTTTATATGAATTTTTGCTGCAATTGGAAAGAAAATTGACACCAATATTGCCAAAATGCCAGCAGGATAATATTGGCATCAATTTAGATTTTATAAGAGAGTGTGAAATTTTGATTCGAAATTATGATGTAAACATTCAGATTAATTCTCAAATGAATGAAGTTCTTATTAGACATGATAATCATTATTTATTAATTGAAAGAGGGGGACAAGCTTATGTCCTTAAACAGCACAGTTTACCAGATTTTGTAAAGAATGAAGTTTGCAAAGAAATTAAAACTGATGGATCTTTATGTGTTTTGTTTAAAATATTTATTCATAATTTGAAAGTATTGGAAAGATTCTATGCTGACTTAGACGAAATAGACTTAGTATGCTATATTATTGATCCTTCACAACCATCAACAAGAGATACTCATAGACAAATATTATTGGGTAAATGAATTTAAATTCCAAATAATTGGTCAATAATCTTATAAAAATATCAAAAAAAAGGAGCTGATAAATACAGAATCCTGCATATATATATATATATATATATATATATATATATATATTTATGAGAAACATTTCTGAATTATAATTTCTTTTAATATTTGCAGATGATAATGTATCACTATATGTACAATTATCTCCTTGGTCTTATGGGGGAATACCAAAACTAACATTTATTGGACCTAATGAACAAGTAGACAAGTTTACAAATACTATTACCCGTAATTTAAAAAATTGGAAAAATGAAGTAAATTTATTTCGCAATTTGCTAACCATCTTAGGTAATTTAAAAAAATATCAACTTCAGAACACTAATGATTCTGAAGAACTTAATTTCTGTCTAATTTAAACACACAAAGCAGAGAAAAAAGTTTGTTGTTTAATATGAACTCTTATTTTTAAACTTAGTATTTTTAATAATTTGTGTAAAACTACTTTAACAAAGCGCATGGTTTATTGAAATGCATATTTCACTTACCCCACTTGCATTATTTTCATGGTGGGACAGCATGTAGAAAACATGCTGTGACGATGAATGCTACAGAGTTTAACCCATTCACTACTACTAGTCATAGCTAAGTAGTAGCTATATGTGCTTTTATTCAGCATATAACTTTTTTTTGTAAAAGAAAATATGAATCAGTTAAAAGAACAGAAACCGTGTCAGCCATTATAGTATATATATTTGATTCTTCAAAAATAATGCAGAAGGATAAAGTCTTGAAGGTCTATGCAAAACTATTTGAATATTTTCAAAACGTATTATCTATTAGATACACATTTATTACATGGTTAAAAAGTGGAATCACTTAAAGATCTTATTTGTATTATAGATTTAATGTATTTTCCAAGCAGAAAAAGTGTTGCTGAATCCTTAAATCAACCAACAAATGATTTAGTATTAATAAGTGATGGGGAATGTTGCATATGTTTTTCGAATATAGATAATTCTAAATTAGCCATGGTTATTTGTGAGAATAATAAATGCAGTAGCTATTTTCATGCCTCATGCCTTTATGACTGGTTGAGACCTATGGCTAATCGAATAACAACATCAGAAGTCATACAAGGAGTTTGCCCGAATTGTGAAAAGGTTAAAATGGAATATAATATTATAAATTACATTTAAAATAATCAAAGCTGATTTTCATATTATATTTTTTTGTTTATTTCAGATTATCTCTTGTCCACTAGTTGAGAAATGATTAAAATACATGTATTTTATGTTTAATTATTTGTGAATTTAATAAAGTACTTTCTATAATTTCACAGTATGTTTGATTTCCACAAATTAAAAAATAACACTCAGATAAGTTTTTGTCTTTTAGAATATTTTCAATGTCATGAGTTTGCATTCTGCGTTTATATATTGTCTCACTATAATAAGTACATTTGCATATATCAATACAATCACATTTCTCTTGGGAAGCTAAAAATATGCTGCTCTTAAAATTCCAAAATTGATTGAAATCTTGAATTTCCTTTCTAAATATTATTGATTCAATATCTCTAAAACAGCAATTTAGAGATATGATTGTTTCATCTATTTCATCTGCTAATATGCTATCTATAATGCAAAATATTGGAGCAATACCTATACCTTGGGTAAAGCAAACTAAAGTAGAAAATTTATATTGTAGTTTTAGTTTTTTGTAATTAAAATCCCCATATGGACCACGCCATAATGTAATGTCTCCTAACTTCAAAGATTTGAGATATTGGCTCATCTCTCCATCAGGCAGCATTTTGACTGCAATTTGAAAAAATAATTCATTAGCTGCTTGAGCATTTCGTATAAGTTTTAAATTGTTATAAGTGCAAATTAGTGGTGTATAAGGTCTGCTTAACTTAATTGCTTCGCCATTATCGAAATTTCCTTTCAAGATAAAGTACTGTCCTGGAATAAATTTTATCACATCATTAGCATTCGGATCAGGATGCTCAAAAGTATACAAATTTACACAAGATGTTATAGGCTCCGCTGATATTAATTTAAATGTTGTATATGCTGTTAATTTCAGAATATTATTGTTCAGTATCGGATTTGCATTTATTTTAGTTTTACGCGCGTTATATTCATTCAATTTCCTTTCATAAATGTCAAGAATGCATGGATTGCATCCTGAATTGCAGCAGTCTGAAGGCTCTGGTTTCTCAGGTATTTCCATTTGCCATAAGAAAGTGTTGCGATAAAGGAAAATTCGAGACCATACAATTTTTGCAAAAAATAATCAAAATGAATTTTACTAGGTAGAGTTTTACTTTCAGCAGTATATGCACTTTTTTGTATAAACCGATAAATATAATATTGTATTTACAACTTTGGTTTAAAAAAAAACTATTTTAAATATATAACTAAATTACTATAAATGTAAGTAACAAAATTTAACACTGTTCTCACTCAGTATAACAATATTTTTACGTTTAAGGAATGTTATTGCACTAACACTTGAACACTTGAACCTTGCCCTTACAGATGACAGCAGAGATATGTCAGAAAAGTTGTCAGCGTTTAGAGCTGTAGCAATAAATGTCGTTTTTAAAATATATGTCTTAATTTCATAAAACAAACACTTATTAATGATATATGTGTAACAATCAGTACTAATTGTTAAATCAGGAAAACATCAGATGATTTTATTAAAATGACACAAGAAGAGCAAAAAGAAGTAACGGTCACAGAAATAAGAGAAGATATTGTAAATATTTGTTTTAGATCAACTAATTTTTATTTATCAAAATTTTATTTAATTTTTATAATTATAAGGTCCAAACAGCAGTAAAATTTTTACAAAACCCTAATGTTCAAAGAAGTGCCATAACCCAGAAACAGCAATTTCTGAGGTCTAAAGGTCTTTCAGAAGATGAAATCCAAGCTGCTTGTGAAAGAGCTGGAGCTTTTAATATATTACCAACAATTCCACCAAATCCATCACCAATTACTACAATTTCAGCAGGACAATCAAGGTTGTCAAAAATTAGAGATATTTTAGGCAGCCTGGCTTTGTTTGGTAGTTTAGCATATGCAATTTACATGCTTTATAAGGTATTAAATAGATTTTTAAGAAACAACTTTATTAAATCAATTTCTGTTACAAATAATAAAAAATCTATAATTTAAAAATTTCAACTTTATTATTTATTAAAAATATGTGATAATATGAATAATTTTCTCCTAATACTCAAATAAAGTATTATCGAAAAACAATGCATATTTTTACTAAACAATCTTGATATTTAAATTTCTTTTTAGAGGTTTATTGAGCCATACTTATTTGTAAAAAGTCCCAAAAAGCGTAAAACTGTGGAAGAAAATATTAATGAACTGGCAGAAGTTGTGCATAATAATATAAAAGAAATGAAAGAAAACGTATCACAAATTAAATTAGATGTATCGAAAATTAGCCAACCAGATAACTATACCTTTAATCAACAGATAATAGATATTAAATCTGAGATTGGTTCATTAAAAAGTTTATTATTGAGCAGGTAATTATATATGACTAATTTTTGTTATAGAAGTTTAATATTTAAAAAAATGTAATAAAATTCATGCCAAAAAACATGAAGGCTAAAATAAAGTACATATAATTGTTGCCTATTGTTCTCTTTTTTGTTAATTCATTCTTTCAATAATTAACATAGATTTTCTGTATTAAATTCCACATTACAAAAACTTTGTGATTCCATCAAATGTACAAAATGATAAATCCAATAACACACTTTTCTGTTATTAAACACAAGAACAATTTGTGTTCTCAATTGTTTATTTTTCAAATTTTTCAAAGGAGTTATGGATTTTTATGGATCCATAGTATTTTTTCAATGTGGGAAATAAATAATTAAAAGTCTTATATATGTATATAATGTGTACAGGAAACAGTTTCCTTCTATTTCTACTGTTGTGCCCCCATCTATACCTGCATGGCAATTAACATCAGCTCAGCAAACGCACACTGATCATGATATTGCTAATGATAATGATTGCCATAAGGCTGAAGATTTGTTAGATAGCGGTTCAGGTTCTGGATCAAGCGAAACCGATGTTGTAACCAAAAACAGTGATAGCAGTCTCGAAATTATGTAAGAATAACAACAAAATTTAGATAAAATTTATTGAGTAATGTAGACTGTCTGGTGTTGATGATGCTATTTTAAAAACCAATCATTCCTAAAATTAGACAGAAATTTAGTGTTTGCAAACCAAGCATCTAAATCTTTTTTACACTATAGTCATTATTATATATATATATATATATATATATATATATATATATATCACAAAATTACAGTCTCACTCTATCTGAAAAAGAAACATATATTAGTTTAATTTTTATCTAACTCTGGTTTTCAAAAATCCATAAATAAAAAGTTGAAGCAAAATGTTAAAACATCTTATATATCCCTTATTTTCATTTAGATATCATAAATTGTTTTTCATTTGATACAACCTTATAAATGATTTGAACTGAGGATGAATGTTGTACTTTTGAAAAAATTCTTTATGAAAATATATAAATTTGTTCAATATAATACAATAACCATTTTAAAATATCTAAATTACATAACATCTTCGATGACGTTTTGTCACTTTTTGATCTGTTTTCAATCTCTTATCAATGGCTTGCAACAAAAACACAATGCACTATATACTTAAGATTTCAACTCCGTAACATGCACAGCACATATGCAAATAAAACATGTTTAAATATGAATTATATTTCTGTACGTTGGTATATTTAAAAAAAAAATATTCCAGATCATGAGTTCAAATGAATGATTCAATATCCTGAACTGAATCAAGTTATCAAAAATCAAGATCCCAAAGGTCACAGGTCGTATTCAATATTTAATGTTAAGTACCACTCTTTTACTTGAAATTATCTTTGAAGAAATAATGTAAAATGTTTGGTAGTGGATGTAATGAACTTATTGATGGAATGAATACATATTTTGATTATGTTATTTAAAGATATTTTTATTTATAATATTAGATTAACTTATTTGTTTTTGTACTCAATGTAGTGAACTTATTTTAGAATAAATTGATGTATACACATGAATGTTGTATGCCTTGAATTAATAACTATAGCTTTCATTTAAATTTTTTATTTATTTATATACAATCTATGTACATTTTTACAATAAGAAATAACTCTTAATGTAATAATTAAACAATTTGTTCACGTGTTTCAATACAATTTTGATCTCTGTACTTTAAAACCACATTTTTTTTTTAGAAATCAATTTATTCGTTTTAAGATCTTCATTTAAGAGCGTAATTAAAAATTTTTTTAAAAAAAAGGTCCTATTGTTTTGAAAAATGTTATTGATACTAAAATGATTGATACAAAAATAGTAAACTATACTTTTTATTATCGAAATTATTCTCTTTATCCTCCTTGATTAATTTCTCCCACAAAGAAGGTTGGAACATGTTCAAAAACGTTTGAGATCATTTTTATCAATCTATTTGTAAGAAGAAAAAAATTGTGGCAACAGTTGACCGAAAACGCAACAAGAATCAACAAATATTAAAAATAAAAGAACATTTAGATTTTCAATATATGTACAATCAAATACTCAAGAACTTCTCGCAATAACATCTCATATTAGAAAAGTAGAAATAACTATAAAGATTTTATAATATTAAATCTTTTGCCAAAATATTATAACTAAGTTATGGGAGGTTTTAATTATCACAATTTATTGATTAAAAGTGTAAAATTTTGAACAATAAAATATCACCAATCCTTCTATGACCATTATAATTTTGTGTATAAATCATGAAACATTATGAGCATTAATAGCAAAAAGAGAGCAATTTTATCTAGAATATTCAAAAATTTAATATAAAAAATTAATATTCACAATTACTTTAAATTTATTGGCAATAGAAGGATATCATTCTGTAATAATATGCAAAGTATACATATACATACATATGTACAGTATACATATACATTTGATTCTTTGGTAAATTTAGCTTATAAGTAAAATAATCTATCTTTCATCTTTACTAATGTACGGAAAATTGATACCAGACAAGCATAATCTTTTTACAACCTTAGGCATTATTTCACAACTAAAACAAGAGCTTCATAAATAATATTATATAAAATATCAACAATCAAATGTCTTATGACTTATTATTGATAATATACCTTTAAAATATCTGAACATTAATGTACTGCTGTGTATAATACACAGTAACGCAATTTGCAATGAATATATATATATATATATATATATATATATATATTCATTGCATTCATGGATGTATATATATATATATATATATATATATCCATGTATGCGTTTGCGTTATTCAATTTCTTTTGCGGAACAATAAAACAAATATTAAGTACATCAAATCACCTAAAATTGGTTTGAAATTTGGTACCTCTATTTATAAGATAGATATACCATTCCTTAAAAATATGCTTATGAACCCATTCATAATTCAATTCATTCATCAGATTTTCATACATTTTTACTTTTTATAGCTTTTGCAGTTTTTTGAACTATGATTTAATATGAGTAGAAATTGTTATTTACAGTTTGTAATATAAAGAAATGTATCCTTTGTATTTAATTTATAATGAGCCTACTTCATAGAATTTATTCAGTCCTAAAAGAAATTGTATAATTTAAGTACTGGTCATAGTGTTTTCACTAGTAGACATAAAATACATCATAGAATACAAAATTTTCAAATCTTACCTGCTACCATAATCTGTGAAGATGCAGATTTCTGGACAGAACAGATCTCACATCTTGTGTAAATCGTAATGCATCTAATACTGGTAACAAGGATAATAAAGCTGTATCCATTGGATCAGAAAACCATGATTTAATTGGTATAGCATTATCTAAAATAAAAGACAGTCCTATAAAATTTATATCATTAATAATAAAAAGTGATTTTAAATGCATTGTATTCCTAAAATTAATGTTGTTTAAAATAAAATGCTTCTGTAACAAATAAACCATACTATTTGCCATATATATTTTAATTAATAAAAATGATCTGAGTGTTTTACTCAGATATATTTTTCAATTCATCATGTTATAAACTTATATAAGGTAAAAATAATAAATAAGGGTAATAATGTTATGAAAGCTTAATTTTAAAAGATAATAAACAAAACTTTCATTGGGCTGCATATTGATTAAGAAGTTATAATATTAATATATAATAATATAATTCAATCTGAATTTTATCTGTTAGTTTAAAGATATCACATTATTAATATGCTAAATAAAAAAAAAGTTTATACCTGGATAACCTCTATAAGCTCCAGGAGAATTATCAAGAATAAAAACTCTGTTCAAATCAGCACATATAGCTGAAAGATCTTTAGTATAAGAACCGAGATCTGGTGTGCAATGTTGTCTATAATAGCGCCTGCGTAAGATGCCACGTCCGTTATCTAATTTGTCCGCCACTGCAGCACCGTAGATTTCCATACTGGCAGTAAAAACTACAAGATCATACCATTGTGAAACCTAAAATAAAAACACTGCTATGATAATACAGAACACTGCAAAACCACAAAATCTCTATGTGACAGTATTAACACATTACAACTTCAACAGCAGAATAAAAAATTGTTTGAGTATGTTTTTGCAAAAAATCTTGAACTGGAGGGTGAAAATATATATATATATATATATATATATATATATATATATGTATATAAATTTATATTTATATATATCATACACAAATAACATCAATTGCTAATAATACTTACAATATCTAAAAAAAAATCTACATGAGGCCTTTTGTGAACAAAAAATCGCACAGGATGCTTGTCTATTGTAACTTTTAATATGAAATCAGGAGGTGTCCCAGGTTTTACAGATGATCTTTGCATTGCATCATGATGAGAATGTATTAAGGTTTCATCCAAATCCAATACTAGTGTTTTACGTTTCACAATACCTTATAATGATAAAATAGTCCAATTATCAGTAATATATTTCTTTTTATACTATAAATAACTGATATATGTAACATGTAATAATATGTAATAATACCAATCAATATGCATGAATTAATTGTATATGATTAATAGTTTGAATAGTTATTATTCTGACTTTAAATAAATAATTATAAATTTATATATATTTTATATTTATGTATATTTTAAAATTAAATGAAAACTTATTTGAATACTCTACAAAAATTAATCAGAATAAAAATAAAAATATCAATAGAGACAGATAATTCTTGATATATTTTTCAATTTCTATTACATTTGTTCAAAATTACCAGGTGATTTTTTTCTCAGGATTTTGGATTTTGATTTTGTTGAATGATCTTTCACCACATATGCATGCACTAACGTTTCATCTAAATCTAAAACTAATGTCTTTCTTGGTAGAAAATCTGAAAGACATGTGACAGGAATCATGTAGGGAATAAGGATTAAAAGACAAAGAATGGTTTAAAGATAATTCTTGCAAGAATTTTGAAGCTATACACAAACACATTCACATAAATAGATTCTATTTTCAGATAAAGTGGTACTTTCACCTATTTTAATAAAATAAGTTTGTAGAGATAAAGTTGATGAGCGCACGATTTTCAACACATTTAAGCAACGTGCATACTTATTTTATTACCAAAGATTCTCTAACATTTGAAACCTCTACAAATTTATTTTATCTACATTATGATAAGAGGGCAATCTTATCCGAAAATAGATGTAACCAGAACCAATAACTTAACTAATGTATCTTAAATATTATAAATAAAATGAAAGAAAAATCAATGTATCTAGATCAAGTTATGACCAACAAGATGAAGAAAAGCAATAATTTTTTTTAAATAACAAGAATGTTAGAAGTAAAAATATACTTACTTAACCTATGTCTCGATATTGGCGATAATGGATACAGTTGATATTTCACGGGCTGATGTTGAACCCACTGTAAATCATTTTATGTTTTAATCGAAGTATTTGACATCTTATGAAATTTAGAGACAATATTAACAAAATTTGTCAATTTTTGGTGAACTGTAGTCAAAACTTTTAAAATATACTAATAGAAAAACTACATGAATTAGTTATTGGGTATAATATATATTTAATAACTAGATAGTTATTAGTATATCTAGTTAAAACCATAAACTTAAACCTATTTCTTTCCATAAAACCCAATAATTTCATTTAACTAGAATAATTGACAAATTAAATAAAGCAGCTTTGATTTATCCTTAGTGCAAATAAAACAATGAGTTGATTAACTAACTCGAAGAACAAATCTTAATTAACATAAATTTAATATTTTCACAAGATTAATCTGTTTAATGATCAAGTATACAATAAATTTATAATAAAGCAAGAAACTTGCATTGCATATTGTAAACATAGTGCATGTAATCGATAGTGTTATAAACAACATAATTAATTCGTTTACCGTTTTACAAAATAAGCAAAATATTAACATATAATTTACCTTTAAGATATTTTTATATGTTTTTAGAAATAGCTGCAGTATCTTCCGTTACATAAACAATCACATACAAGGAGATATGTCAAACCCTATATCAAAATGAACAATACGCCTTTATAACATTTTTATCACGTAAATGTCGTAAACAAAAATTTAATATTATTATAATACTTACTGCTCTTACTTGTTTTTTAAACATAAAACACAAACATGTCCATACTTTTGATGCCACAACATAAAACGCATGCAAGCCCATTTGCAATTGTTTAAGCATTTGTAAGTTTTTATAAAGTAACTTTGGGGAAATAAATTATTCGTTAATAAACTTAATAGACAAAAATTTTGAAAACATTACTTTTGAATACATCATGACCTAATACTTCGAGTTTGAAGTTTCTTAGCGGCCATGATCGACTTACTGCAATTTTGTGCCCATACCAACGTAACAAAAATTTCAAGTTGCATAATAAAATTAGATCTTGACAGTTGCTATCTAAGCAACGAAGTTAGGTTTATATAGTTTCAAATGCCGAAACGGCTGAAACCATGCTTATTTATCTATGGCTGAAACCGTTTTACATGTGGTGACCCACGTTGTTTCTTTTAATTGATAATTATTTCATTAACTTCCCGTAGGGTCAATTATCAGTAACGGACCGAAAATCGAAATCAAAAATTTTTCTGAACATTTTAGCATATCTCAGAAAAAATGGATGTGAGTGTGTTTTGTGTGTCCACAATTTTTTGTCCACGTTTTCGGGCGCACGGATCAACCAATTTGAATGATTCAAAAAACATTCGATTTCTATTGATAGGGTGCCGTTATGGAGATACGCAGCAAATAGTGCAGAAAATATAAATAGAGTTTTTGAGAGAACGAAGCATCCGATTTGAATGATCCAAAAAACATTCAATTTGTAATGATTGGGAGAAGTGGTGATTAGTTTTTGGTGAAGGCAAGTCTAGCCATTTTGAAGATACAGAGTTAAATGTACAAAAAATGCAGTTTTTGAGAGAACTAAGCATCCGATTGGAATGATTCGAAAAACTTTCAGCTTGTGTTGACAAAACAATTGCTTTTGGAAACAAACTTATTTTATTTTCTAAAAAAAATGTATATCGAAAATAATTCAGATTAATTTATTAATTAATTGTGGCTAAAGTAATAAAGCTCACATATATACTTTAAATATATAAATTTAACTTTGTAATTCCAGTTCCGACTAGGACACCGAGGAGTGCGGATCGTTTAAAGGTAAATAAAACTAGTGTTATATACCTGAGTGATTGAAATATTGAAGGCAGTTCAATGGATTATAAACCATTCGAACCGGGTGGATTACCGGTTTCGACAGGTATAGATAAGAGGATTAACAGCTCGGAAATCGAGACAGGTAGTCAAATAGTCAAGTCGATGAATATTATTAACGATGAGGAAATTTATATTGATGATGAAATGAATAGTGATAAGTCAGAGTTTTACGAATGTGATTACGAGCAACCTAATAACGGAGGTAATGAAGTGCAAAATTCAGCTAATAATCCGAGCAGTTCGAAAAATATAGCTAAGATAAATATCACAAATTTGGATAAGAATAAAGATATTAAATATAAATCAGATAAAAAATTCAAACGTAATTCGAATAAAAAGAAGTTCAATATATCGGAAGAATTAATTAAAAATATTGTAAAAATCGAAACAAAGGATGGTGAAGTGTTAGTGTTAAATAATATTAAAAATAAAGAAACCCCAAGTTGTGATGCGAGTGTAAATAACAAAAGTTGGAGCGAAATGATAGAAGAAGAAACCATTACAAATAATGAAGAAAATAACTTTTATAATTCGAATGATGAAGGACCATATACAATATTTGCCGAAGCAATTGACAATAACATTGGAAGATTTCACAATCTAGCATTGGGAAGAATGTTATTCAAACAAGAACCAAACATAAGTAAAAATATCATAAATATAACAAAAATTGGAAAAAATAAAATCAAATTATTATTTAAAAATTACACGTATGCAAATAAACTAATAAAAGAAAAAATTCTTGAAAAATTCAAAATAAGAACGTATATTCCGAAACACAAATTATATAGAAGCGGAATTATTTTCAATGTTGATCCGGACATGGATGAGCAGGAAATTAAGGAAGTGATCAGATCAGATATTGAAGTAGTAGACATCAAATGTATTAAAAAAAGAAATGTAGATAAGCAAAATCTAAAAAGTCAAGCGGTTAAACTGGTATTCAGAGGAAACTACTTGCCAGAAGTTATATCAATGTATTCTGTTAGATGTCCTGTTAGTCCATATATTCAATCAGTGATACAATGTCATAATTGCTGGCGGTTTGGACATATAAAAATGAATTGTAAGAGCAAAATAAGATGTAAAAATTGTGCAGCTGAACATTCCCACGAACAATGTCATATCGCCACAGAGTTTGAGTGTACTTTATGTCGAGAAAAGCACCAGGCAAATAACAAAGAATGTAAATTCTTTAAACTAAATAAGGAAATAAAAGAAATAATGGCTCTTCACAATATATCATATTTAGAAGCAAAAAGGATGATTCAGAAGAATCGATATGTGGATGCAGTTAAAAGCAACCCATACAATCTGGAATATAACTCATCATTCCCAAAACTAAGGAGTAATATAATTATGAACAACTATAATAATAAATATGAGATATTAAATACATTAGAAGAACAAGAATTAAATATCGAAAAAGACAGATTAATGGTAATTAAAAAACCAAGAAATATTATAGAAAAACGCCGATCAGAATACTTGAGACATATCGGCCGAAGTAATAAAGAACAAGTATCTCAAAAGAAAACCCAGGAACTCGATGTCATGGACAGCAATAAAACGAATAAGATTGAAGAAAATAAAAGACAACTAAATCACTTCATAGAACTGGCAATGAAGTTAAGGGAAAAAATAGAATCTGAGAGAAACAAAGATTGCAAAGAATTAGAGGAAATTATATATAATCTGAAATACGATATCCACACCATTGGTAAATATTTAAACCAGGCTAATAAAACAGATAAAGGCATAAGTAATGTAAGTCAAGTACATAACAAAGGATGTGAGGATAATTCTAACGGAAGGTAGAAGATATAGAAGACTCCCTTTAGATAGCATCTGCAAATTATAAACCAATAAACAAACATGGACAATTTTAATATACTTCAACTAAATTGTAGGTCATTACTAGCAAACAAAGAAAGCATAGAAAGCCTGATGTACCATAAGAAAATTCATATTGCTGCTCTAACAGAAACTTGGCTGAAACAAGGACAAAAATTTAACTTCAAAGATTATAAAATATTTCGAAGTGACAGACACGATGGTTATGGTGGCTCAGCCATACTGATCAGAAACAGTATTATCTGTGAGGAATTCAAACATTCTCAGAACAACCGGGATATCCAAATGACTGCTGTTATAATTAAATCGACTACCCCATTTTGCGTGGTATCCATATATTGCTCACCTCAAGCCACAAAGGATTTATATTTAATCCGAAATCTTATTGAACAAATTCCAGTTAGACTAATCGTCACCGGAGATTTCAATAGTAAACATATAGCATGGGGAAACGAAATAATAGACAGTGGAGGCGCTATAATGTATGATATTGTAGATAGTCTTAACTTAGTTGTCTTGAATGATGGAACTCATACGACTATACAGACTATTAAGAAAAAATCTTCCGCCATTGATCTATCCTTTTGCTCGACATCTATTCATGACAGGATTCATTGGAGTGTAATTCCTGAAAATGTTGGTTCTGACCATTTACCAATTATAATAAAGTTGCATTTCAAATTTAATACAAGGATGCGTTGGTATCCCGGTAGAAAATGGAACACTAAACAAGCAAATTGGGAAAAATATGGATCAGAGATTGAAGATATTCTGGAGACCTCAACAATTCCTTCGAACTGCGAAGAAAAATATAAGTTTATCCAAGATACCATAAATAAAGCGGCAGCAAAACACATTAAACAATATAAAGTATCGGATACCTTTAAACCGGCAATATGGTGGGACAATGACTGTGAGATCCAAACAAGAAGAAGAAACGAAGCCTTTAAGAAACTAAGAAATGAATTTAACTACGAAAATTACCTGAGTCTACAAAAAGTAATAGCACAAACTAAACGACTGTTTAAAACAAAGAAAAGAGAAAAATGGCGTGAGTTAATAAATTCGTTCAATATGAATACAAATATTAACAAAATTTGGAACACTATCAAAAAATTGAATAATAAAAATAATAGACAGAACCAACATCATCAAATGAACGATGACTTTTACGAGGCAATTCTTAAGACCCATACTCCCGATTTTGTTCCTGGACCTGCCCTATTTAATCAAGAGCGGCCGGAAGACTGGATTGATGACAATGAACACGAAGAAATTAATGGACGCATCAAATATGAGGAACTTGAACTGGCGCTAAAGGAGAAAAAAGACAGCTCTCCGGGATTCGACAACATAACATATATCATGATTAACAGAAGCCCTAAAGCATTAAAAAACCTAATAATTGAGATGTTCAATTATATATTGCTTTCGAACTGGATTCCAGAAGAGTGGAAAAGAGCGGTATTAGTTCCCATACTAAAGCCACAAAAAGATCCTAGTGATTATAAGTCTTATAGACCAATAATGTTACTACCTTGCCTTTCAAAAATATTTGAAAGTATTCTAGAAAAGAGATTAGAATGGCATATAGAAAAGAATACAATATTAAATAAATATCAATTCGGTTTCAGGAGAGGAAAAGGCACGATTGATTTACTCAGCGAACTCCTTGTGGATCTATATGGCGCGTTGACAGAAAACAAATATGTTCTATTAGTTACGACAGATGTTGAAAAAGCCTATGATCATGTAGATCACCAAATACTCAAAAATAAATTAACAAAAATAAATATTCCAAACACAATTACTAGCACTATTATGTCACTTCTATCCGATAGAAAGATTTATGTTAGAAACCAGAATCGACTTATAGGTCCAAGAATAACTTTTAATGGTATCCCTCAAGGCTCGATTTTAAGTCCAATATTATTTAACATCTATACGTCGGATTTCATAGAGACAGAAGGGACAAAAGTGAAAAAATTACAATATGCAGATGATTTAGTCATGTATATTTCTTCGCGATCATTACAGGAATGTAGTGATGAAATGAACAGCTCTTTAAGAAAAGATTTAGAATGGATGCGGGACAATAAACTCACACTTGAACCTCAAAAATCTAAATGCATTCTATTCACTAGGCATAGGCTCCCAAGAAATTACATCAGTATAAATATAGACTCGATTCAAATTAAAATATTGGAGAACATCAAAATTTTAGGAATGATATTGGATACAAAATTATCCTTTAACAAACACGTTAATGAAATGTTAGCTAAATGTGAAAAAGGAATGAATATCCTAAAACGAGTAACTGGCACCACTTGGGGTGCACATCCCAATATCTGTCTCTCGTTTTACAAAGCCGTTATTAGACCCCGGATGTCAAATTTATGGAGGAAGTTTTAAAGGGATAATGGATAGACTAAATAGAATACAATATGCAGCGTTAAGAATATGCTTGGGAGCACTGAAGTCGACACCTACAAATTCGCTGTTGGCTGAAGCTGCAGAAGCTCCTTTAGAGATAAGAAGACAGGTTATAACTAATAGGTTTTTGATTAAAAAATTTAATTATGATCATGCATGGATACACAACTGTTTAGAGCCACTTGCAGTTCTGCATTTTGAAAATAGATTCTGGTACAAAAAACCAATACCACCTTTAATTGCTGGGTTCCATACACTTAAACCACTAGAAGAAGAAATGATGGTAAATAATAGATTAACATACTTCACTATGTCTTGGAAAGGCACGTTACCTAAAAAGTACATACATTTATCAGATGATTTCGATAATGAAAAGAAGATAGACAAGAAATTAATAAATCTGAAACTGAACAACTTAATGCATTCAAGATGGAAAAATTTTATTCAAATATATACCGACGGTTCAAAGACAGATAATGGGGTTGGATGCGCAGTTTGGATCCCAAGTCAAAACAAACAACTTCAAATTAAAATGCCCGATTGGGCTACAATATTCACGGCGGAAGTGATGGCCATTAATAGAGCATTAGACCTAATCAGGAAACATAAATTGGAAAAAGTTATAATTTTGTCAGATAGTAAATCTGCTTTACATGCTTTAAATATACCTAAATATTTTGGCAATCCACTAATTTTCGACAGTATTAGAAAGATAGAAGATTTAATTAAAAAGAAGCATAATATCGAATTAATATGGATAAGAGGACATGCGAATATCATCGGAAATGAGATCGCGGATGGGCTGGCCAAAGATGCACATAGCACACCCTCGATTGTAAATAAAATTCCTGCAGTAGACCTTAAAGGAATTGTTACAAAAAATGGAATGTCTCAATGGCAAAAGGTATTCGATCAAGACTCACGTTTGAAAGGAAGACTTTACCAACCGTGTAACCCGAAGGTATCGAGAAGGACATGGTTTCAAAATATTAAATGGAATAGGAGAGAAATAACAACAATCTGTAGACTAAGGCTATCACACACAAGGAGTAACAGTCATCTATTCAGAATCGGTATCAAAGAAGACCCATTTTGTGCTTGTAGTATCATATTAGACACATTGGACCACATATTTTGGAATTGCAAATTATATAAAAATGAACGGAAGAAATTATATAAAAGACTACAACAGCTAAAAGTACAATTTCCAGTAAATGCAAGACACATTATTAGTGAGAGTAATATAGGAATATATAGAGTGTTGCTGGATTTCATGAATGAGTGCAATATAAAATTGTAGTGACTTATAGAAATCAAGTTAATGAAGATATGTTATTAATAATGGTTCTTGTTTTTGTATATTCATACAGAAGAAATATTTTGTAATGTATAGTATTGTATTTTATAATATGTATTCAATGGATATTGGCTAAAATGTTTGGATAAAACGAGGCCATTTTAATAAAAAAAAAAAAAAAAAAAAAAAAACTTTGTAATTCAGTTTATATAATTCTTATAAATATTAGGCAGTATTACGGTATTTATAATAATCTATTTGAAAACATTCAAAATTCCTCGAACATTTCGTTACGGTACGGGAAGTTCCAGCAATTTGCCTTGAGGCACGATGCCATACACCCTACCAGTTATTTTAACTTTTTACATAGTTTGAAAACAAATAGTTCACGCTTGCGGCAAGTAATTTTAGTCATGTACTTGTACCTCAAACAGTCAATAATGGGTTAATATCAAAACGAATCAACTAATTCATAAGATTTTAATAATAAATTAGCATTATGTGTGTATATAGGCATTTTGGATAGATTGACCCCAACTACTTACGTAAACTCTATTTTTCAGTATATTAGAAGTATAGTCAGAATTAAAAATAAAATCTGAATTATTTTCGATATACAAAAATTTTTTTTTTGAAAAAAAAAAAGTTTAAACAAAAATTTTTTTTCCAAGATCAATTATTTTGTTAAGACAAGCAGAAAGTTCTTTGAATCATTTAAATCGGACGTTTAGTTCTCCTGCCTTTGCGAAAAACTAATAAACACTTTTCCCAATAATTGCTAATTGAATGTTTTTTAGATCATTCAAATCGGATGCTCCGTTCTCTCAAAAACTCGATTTCTATTTTCTGCACCCTTTGCTTTTTATCTCCGTAACTGCTGGACCTGCCTATGCCGAAAACTAATCAGCACATCTCTCTATCAATAGAAATCGAATGTTTTTTGAACCATTCAAATCGGTCGATCCGTGCGCCCGAAAACATGACTGAAAATTTTATCCATATATACATACACACACGCTCACATCCATTTTTTCTGAGGTATGCCAAAATGTTCAGAAACCTTCAAAACATCGAGAAATGTAAAAATTTTCAATTTCGATTTTCGCCCCATTACAATAACTTACCCTACGGAAAGTTAAAAATGTTTTATTATTGTTTTTAACTTTGTATAACATGCAAATTATGGGTTTGAAATCGAGCTAATTAACTATTCATAAAGTTCAAAATGATCTAGTCACTAGATCTTTTTCTAGCAATTGTTTTTAGTTATTTGTTAACATGTATTTACAAATACTTTAACGATAAAATACTAAAAAATCATAGAAACTAAAATAACTCCTAAATGCTTGCAATACCATTAAAAATATTTTTTCCGTTCGTCATCTTAATGTGATGTTTTCAGTAAATAGGGGTGGTTTCTGGAGTTAATATTATTGCTAAATTCTGTGAAATTGTTAGCACAATATTATAAGTATAGATTATTTAAACCAAATACATGTCCTAATTATAAAAAATGTGCTTCACTTTGATAGTGAATTTAATCCGGTCATCATTGACAATTTATCTGGCTGTGAATAAATTGAATCTCATGCATTCCAAAATATTATAAGAAAAAAATTATAAAGAATGTATTTTTATTCTATTAGTCTTGAATTTATCTATAAATATTTACATTTTGGTCATTTACATTGGCTAAATTATTTGCGATTTATATTCAATTTTTGTTGATAATTTTAGTTGAACCTGTGTAACGTATAAAATAATATATATTCAGTATAATTAAATATTATATATATATATATATATAACGGTTCAAGTAAAAAGTTCTTAGCTTTTCTTCGGTCGTTCAAACCATCTACTCATTTATTTGATATGATATTTTCTCAAATGTGTTACCAGAGAGAAAGGGCGAGTTTCAAACGGAAGTTGTTTAAAATTTTGATAATTTTTTGAAAGATTAATGCAACACCTTTTATACTCATTGTCAGGTAATATGATAGTTCGACAACTAAAAGAAAATGCTTGGAACTTTTTACTAGAACTGGTATTTAATAAACGCTACTTCGTTCAGAGCAAAACAGCATATGTGCAAAATTACCGTCTATTGGACCCTATATTAAGAGCTTCAAAATAAAAACAAGATTATGAAGTAACATAATGACGCTACATTAAGATGTTTTTAAGAAAATACCTTTATTAAACATAAATGGAATAGAATTCATAAGTCATATAAGCATGAGATTTTATAAATTTAAATTATTATTATAAATCTTTATTATTTGTAGAATATTTCATTTCTAAACTATATTTTTTATATACAAAGTTCGTAATGCAATAGCATTAATTTGAAGAAAAAGAAATTCTCAATTTTTAGTAACAATTACGAAAATTATTGGTCACAGTTTTATGGTATAATTATGCAAAAAATACCATCACAAATAAGAAATTCAAATTCTCATCAAATACCATCTTGACTAAAGTTCTTTATCATTAATTTTGATACTAGTACTCATAAAACCAAAGCAAATGAAAAAACAAATCTCATTTATTTGTACAGCTATAATCGATCTTTCAATGTATATAAATTTCGATTCATTCGATCATTTTGAGAATATCTTTTTCCCCAAACAAATAGGTTCAGCGCAAAGCGCATAATAAAATTTATTAAATATATTATATTTGCAGTTGAGAAACCAACAGCTAGTAACAATAAAAATCTACTAATAATCATTTAATGGAACAACTTTAATATTAATTTATTAAATTATTTAATAAATATCCAATCAATAATTACGAAACGATTTTACGTAAATTTAGTTAATTGATTTTCTTTTAAAACTTGTTTCACTTTAGTTTCACTTATACGAAGTTTTCGACATCACCTCCACTGAGAAGGAATAATATTCTTTTTAACTTCTCGTAGTGTAACTTATAGTAATTATCATTTAAGTTGTATTTAATGCGCAATTTTTAGGTAATCTTAAAAATAAAAGTTATTAGACATTATGAAACTGATGTTTCGGGTCAACTCAAAGGTAAAGCCTCATGGAGTGCATGCATATGTGTCAGCGAACTCCATAATGGTGGTCTCTCGCCCGATACCTAGAATTACAGATAAAGTTTTTGAACTTGCGATTTAATATATTACTATAATTTATTATATAACATAGCCTCTATAGTTATAAATAAAAATTTTAAAAAATTGGTATTACACAAAAAATAGTGTGTAAGAATAAAGTCGGGTAAATGCTAAAGTATCCTTACTAGAGAATGCAATACCGATGGAAAATTTCAATACCGGTATTTCGGTAATTTTTCATTTAAAAACCGGAATACCGGTAAGTTACTGGTATTTTTATTATCTTAACCAAACGTAAACAAAATTGAAAGTTACTAGTACAAATATAAAAAAATGTATATACAACTACAACTATATTCACGTAAACAATAAAAAAAAACAATAAGTTTATTATTTTAAATAATAATTTAACAAAAGTATATGCAATTGCTTAATACATTATCACTATCGAGTATACTGAGTACTTTTCACCAAAAACAAACTTATGAGCAAGAAAGGCCAAAAACTCATAAAAAATCATATTACATTATTATAATAAACTGAATTGTCTATATCCGATGTGTTAAACTAGCATACTCTCCAATATTTAAAAAAATAATTTCGCTACACTAATTCAAGATCGTATTCTTTGTCGAGATAAATAATAAGTTACTATAATTGTTGAGTATTGTTATTTAAAACAATATGATGCTTCTATAGTATTTTCAAACCTCGAAACGTTTTCGAAGAATAATATTTTATAATTGTAATAAGAAGCAAAAATATTTAGTAATTATCATAATTATTATGTATAAAGTTAAAAAATAATAAAGATTACGCAGAGGTAATCTATATGATATAAAATATTTTGGCGCAAATATCACTTAAAAAACCGTTACATTTTTACAAAAGATGAAACAAACATCATTATCTATCAGTCCAATTCTATTTATTGTAACACGATATGAAGCCCTTTGGAAAGCAATAAATATTCAGTTTAATGACGAGTTGAGATAATATTTGACATTTGTTTATCTTATAGAATCACTTGAAGATATAGCTGTTTATGCGATTATGGAATTTAAAGATAAATTTGTTCCGAGAAATTTAAACTTTAAGGTATTATGTATCAAATAACGCTTATGTAAAAATACTGAAAATACCGGTATTTTTGGAATAAATACTGCCAAAAAATCGGGCGGTTTACCGGTAATTCGGTATACCGGTATTGCATTCCCTAGTAAGGAGTATGTTCACGCCAAAATCAAAGCATGCCATATATTGATATAGAAACAAAAGCAATCAAATCAAAAATCATCATAAAATTAAATCAATCAATACAATGAAATAAAACTTTGAAAACATTGCACATACAAATACAATTTGTAGTTAATTTTAAAATAAACGCAAAATATCACAATTAAAGTGTTTTAAATATCATTGGTCCTTCGAAAAATCAATCAAACGAAATAAACATTGGTTAGGAAAATTTGAGAATAATGTTTGAAACCATTTTGAAACTTCGGACAAGCATTTTTTCGGTTTTCTTTTATACCGATTTCTTTTTTACTGAGATGGTAATGAAATTTGATTTATACAGTGAATGAATTTATTTGTTTTAGAACAATGAACTATCCAATTGAAGAATTGAACAATCTCTTCTCTTGTCATTTCCCAAATAAGGAAACCCACTTATAGTTTATTTACTATTGACCTCAGATGTCGTCCAGAACATCATTCTAAATTTTTTTGGTTTTGATTCGATGAAATCGACATCACAAATAACATTATTTTTCAGCGGTCAAATGACCGACCGCGGTAGTTAGGCCAGATAACAATTTTTTTTCGGAAAAATAAAAAAATAATTAAAATCAAAGTGTAAAAAAAATAATAGTATGTTCTAAGAATTGTCATATAGTTTGATATTGGTATTTTAACGTTTAAAAATGTCTAAGTTAATACAGTTTGACAATTGAAACGGTCATTTTGACCGGCCTTGGTAGGTTTAGTATTGATAATTCTTCTTCTAGTTGAGATAAATAGTTTTTGTTTAGTATACTACATGTTTATCCATGGTATACTAACACTAGGTCCTCCATGTATAAGCGCGTGTGGCGGGTGATTTTCGGCTAGCTCTCTTCCCATTGTGTCGGTTCCGTTCGTATCTGTATCTGGCGTCATTAACTCAACCTGAAATATCTCAACGTTAAAGAAATATTAATATACAATGGAGATAATTATCAACAGTTTTTCTACATATTGGCCTAGCTTATATACGATTTAATTTGGTTTAACGCCGTTCATATTTTTCACGTAACATATCGTGTGTTGAACCCTTTATTGACAGAAGAGCTGATTAAAAAACAACTATAAATTCATAAGTACAGTAGAAACTCTATTAACCGCACTAATAAATTGTTATTTAGATCAGAAAAGATATGGTTTTTTGTATTTACTGTCGGTTGAAACGGCTAATGAAATTGATTTATAAAATTATATTCACCTGTGTTTGCTCCGGATCTGACTTTTCTTCAACCACGGTATCTAGTTCCTGCGAAGGAAAGCCCCGACTCATTGTCTATCGGGTTTTAAAGTTATGGGCCTAGCATTATGAGGTCCGGCTGAAATACAATATAAATTAGTTTTAAATATAATGAAATAATTTTTGTAAATTATTTATATATTATCACACGTTCTTAGCTATGGGACACTGCTTATTACTAAAAAAGTTGTTATTAGTAGGCAATCTTATTATAGTCTTAACCTGTTCTTTTTATTATTGGATGCTATTAGAAGATAAACCCACAGTCGCCTTTCCAATTGGAATGCTGCTGCAAAGTAAGTGCTATTTTCACTTGGAAACATATTGCTATCTATATTTCTAAGTAAAAACGGATATCACTACGGCTCGACATCAAGCTGTCGGAGGAAAGAATGAAACCCGGATTTTCTGATTTAAATTCGTAACTCCAACCATAGATAAACAAGTATAAAGTGGCTCTAACCACTAATTAACAGGGAGCCGACACAATGAATAATGAAAAAAACACATATCGAAAATAACTATTGTAATCTTTATGAATATATGTCCATAATTTTTTGTAAGCATTTCGTGAAACGCTAATCAAAATAAGATAAAGGAAATT